GAATACTATCTAATACACGGTTGATCACAGTGAGTTTTCCTCTCATTGATAAGTATTGCAGTTGCCAAGTTGCCATTTTTTCCTTGAACTTCTCAATGACTCTACTTTATGTCTCTAAAGATTTGAATTTGGTCCCTAATGGGGCATCCCCTGGTAAGTTGTTGGTAAATGACCAGCGTTGCAACAGAGAATTCCTGCCAGTTCCTTCAATTTTGGAACATCATTGACATAATGTGCTTTTGAGCATATTAATCTGTAATCCAGAGAGAGCTTCATATATAGACAGTGTTAAGGTTGAGAAATAAAATATGTGATCTCTCAGCACCACAAAAGATGAGAGCATCATCAACATAAAGTAGGTATGACACCTCCACAGTTCCACCAGAGTTAAATCCAACTTCAAATCCTTTAATCTGCTGAAGTTCTCTGGATTATTCAGTACTATGCTGAGCCCCTCCTTAGCCAAAATGAAAAGAAAAGTTTAGAGCCTGCCTTGTGCCCTTTTTGGTGAGAAGAATCACCAAGTATTTGACTGCGGTGCAAAATCTAATCCATATAACCCATCGTTCTCCAAAGCCCATTTTATTTTGCATACTCAACAAATAGGATCAATTAACTTTATCAGAAGCCCTTTAGCACGTCAAGTTTGCATAGAAGTCCAAGAGTTTTTGTCTTTGTTTCTAGTCAAGCAATTCATTTGCAATCAGTGTTGCATCAATGATCTGTTTGACTTGAAAGAAAGCACTTTGGTGTCCTGAGACTAGTCTTCTTTTTTTGTGACAAAGGTAGCAGTATGTCCTGAGACTAGTTTGTCTATCACCTTTTCATTATCTCTGCTAGGTGTTTTGCAACTATCTTATATACACTACCAAGTTGCACTTTCAAGTTCCTGGGGCTTTGTCAGGGGTCCATGGGGTAATGTTTTTCTAGACCTCTTCCTCAAATGCACTTTCAAGGTCTATGTTATCCTGATTTTTGTTGGTGGCCAAATTATCAAACCATGTTAGTGGCCTCTTGTTCTCTCTTTCAGTGTGCGATTTCTGATAAAAGTCAAGGATTTTCACTTTTGTCCTATCTTTACCCTCTGTAATTACGCTCTCTATCTTCAGTTTGTCAATGCAATTGCTCCTTCTATGAGAATTTGCAATTCTTTGAAAGTACTTGGTGTTCCAATCCATGTCCTTAGGCCATAGATATCTCGACTTCTGTCTTCAGTAGTCTTCTTCAATCTTGGCCAGCTACTGAAGTCCAGTTTTGATGTCACCATCTTATTTATCAGTCTTGGGATTGGGCTCTGTGTTAGCAATTTGTTCTAGGTTGAAAGTTCATCTAAGGCCATGCTTCTCTGTGCTACCCTGTTTTAGCTTGTTCATATTTTTTTTTAAGAGTCTTAAACTTCTAGATTATGATAAAGCCTGCATTATCAGTCCTATGAATAAATGAAGGGTGGATTGCCAGTGATATTGTAGTCTGCCACCACCCTTTAACCATGTCTAGAAAACCTTCAATTTGTAGCGCTTGTTTTCAAACTTGAAGTAAGAAGGATTAAACCCCACTTGTGGGATTACACCGGATATGTCGTAGTAAGTAAGAAGGATTAGGATCTGGAGGACTGCAGTACCAACAAAAGTTAAGTGCTTTACTTGATTTGTCATTAGAAAGGCATGCTTGACACATGAAGTCTTGAGGAGGAAAAGAAGATCATACTTCCTTGGTGCTCTTTATGTGGGAAGATAGGGGAAACTAATAGTCACCTATTCTTACATTGTACTTTCACAGCACAAATATGGTCCATGTTTCTCAACTTTTCAGAAGTGAAATGGACTATGCCAGAACATACAGTTGTTTTACTTAGTTGTTGGATCAGGAGAGGAGGTAGCAAGAGACAGAAGATCTGGTGGAATTTAATTCCACATTGCATTTGGTGGACAGTGTGGAAGGTGAGGAATAGTAGGAATTTTGAAGATATATTCAATTCCATTCACAAGGTTAAATGGAATTGCATTGTATCTATATATTTTTGGTGTAAAGAGATAGGATTAGAGGATTCAGATCAACTTTTAGAATTCGTAGGATCCTTGTAAGTATTATGCTTTTTGTTCTTCTCTGATTTTCTAAAGGTCCCCAGCATATCCTTAAAGCTGAAGAATACAATGTTCCAATTCTCAAAAAAAAAAAAGAGTAAGAAGGATTAGGATCAAACTCACTACTTTCAAGAATATTTGGTCTATGACTGGAGATGACTCTAGGAAGAACCAGTTGATTAACAACTTCGAGTTGTTCATTCCATGCTGGTGAGATCAGAAATTTGTCTATGCAAGAAACTTGGGTTAAAAATCTTCTTCCTTGGACCAAGTGTAGATAGCCCCTCCGATGCCCAGATCCTGCATTATATTTCAGAAGCCTTGCATAGCCGTGGGTCTCCTTATACAAAAGTATCTTTCACTTTTGAAATCTATACATTAAAGTCCCTTCCCATTACCCATTTTTCTTTCCAGATAACAACTATTTCCTATGTTTTATGTATGTCACATACTCCAGAACTTTTGTTTGTTTTAAAGATAATGCATTTATTGAATAACTTGTCCAGTTTCATACACTAACTGGTTAATGCTTTTCCTATTATCTTGTGTGTAATGTGGCAAGTCTGGCAGAACTTTTTCTTGTTACTACAAAATGGCTGTATGTCATACACTAACTGGGTTATGCTTTTGAAAGCTGGTGTATGACTCATGTTGGATGACATTATCAATTTTATGAACTGTTGGAACACACTATCACTTTTATACTTCTCTCAACTACATTTCGAGTTAAAATGATCTTTACTATCTTCTTTTTGCAGAGTCCATGTGAACATATCTTCTGTTTAGATTGTGCCAGGAGCGACTCTCTCTGCTACCTGTAAGCATATATCCTGTTTCTCCACTTTTAAGCGTGATAATATCATTGCTTTAGGGTATAAAACTATCAACTCTGTATCAAATATTATTTTGGACATTCTCACATTTAAAGATGGCAAGTCAAAAGGATTGCAAACAATATAGTGATTTATAGAGGATATGCTGCTGGTAGCAGCATTGGGGTACTATAAGGTGTATGTTTTAGGTCTTGGCTGTTCTACTTAAACCTGAATTTCACATTGATATTTTGTCAGGTCATGCTTCAGTATCATATCTCTGTTGTTAGACCTGAATTTTCCTTTTTTTGTCAAGTAGACATCTTAGTTTTTTAGTCTAATCCTATATCAGCTTGGGCTAGTTTTTGAAATACCATTTTATTAGAAATTATCTTTCAAGTTAGAGAGATATTGCTCCTATGAAGAGCTTCATCACCCCTTGTTATGACAGATGGTTGATTTTAACTCTGACTAGAAATTTTGGAATCTCATCAAGAGCATTTAAGATTGTCATGATAAACATCATCTAGAGAATTGTCACACATCCTTATTCAACTGTATTGCTACTTAATTGTTTGTGAGTAAACTAGGTTGGTTAGTTTTGCTTTACCTGTTCCATACCTGTTTCACTGATCTAATGAGTACGGAATCTGAGTTACATTTTCTTTTATTCAGCTGTGATGAACGCATTCAGAAGATTCAAACGATTAAGATGTTGGAAGGGGTCTACATCTGTGCAGCTCCGCATTGTCTCAAGTCCTTTTTGAAGAAGACTGAATTTGAATCTCATATTCATGAGACTCACAGTGATCTCCTTCATGCAGAGAAAGATGGAAACATTTCAGAATCTGCTAGTGCAAGAAAACCTACAGCATCTGAATCTACAGTGCAAGCACCACCTAGGCCCATATTTTCCCCTGGTTCAGGTTCCCAGGCACATGATCGTGAAGACAAAGCTCATCATTCTCAAACTAGAGACCAACAGCTTCCTAGGCCTTTTATGCAACAAAAGCCACCTTTCACTGGTTCAATCCAAAATCAGCCACTAGAGCAACAGTCTGATAGTAATCCTCCTCCAGGTTTTGAAAGGCCTGGCATGCAGAACTGGTTACCTCAGCAAGGTTTTGATGCACAGGGTTCATTTCCAGTGCACATGCCCCAACCTCATGGCTTTGCGGTGCCTATGAGTTTGAATCCAGGTTTGTCTCATCAATTTGGTTATCCTCAGCTTGCATCTGATGGAGCCCAACCATTTTATGGTGTTGCTTCATTTGAGATGCCTAGGCCAGACTCAACTCCTGAAAGGAGATCAGAACAAGGCTCTTTGCTAGGTTTTCCACCTGGTGCTGCAGGAAAGATGAATTTTCCAGAAAATTACCCTCGACCATGGAATATGGGGCAGTCGGCTGGGCAGTCAAACCTGCCACTTCCGCTGTCAGCCAACAGAGGATTGGAAGGTGGACAGAGTAGTAATTCCATGGACACCAGAGATAGCAAGGGTATACTGATGTCGCAACCTATTTCCCTCCCACCACCCCCACCTTTACCTCATCACAGGTCACAACTCCAGAGAGGGGGCAGACACTATTCTGGTGATACAAGTCATGATGGACAGGGCTATGGTTGGCAACATGAGAAACGTGATAATTTCAGAAGCAACCAGGACTAGTTGTGTTCTTGTTATTTCACCATCTTTTCTTTTGAAAGAACAGTGACCATTTTGTTGTTGCCTGCAGTGTATTTTTCTTTCTAAACTACCAACATTATTTTGTTAAAGCTGAAACGCTGGTTTCGCTGACATTTACCCAGCTTCTTGTTCAAACAGTAGCATGGATCTCTTCTGCTTTGAGAAATTACATTCAAGATTTGCAGCTTCTAAATTGAGGCCAGAAATTACATATTTGAACTATTTTCTTGAAGCATCCAGGCATAGTATATATGCAAACAACAATTAACAATAATTGCTGAATGATTTATTAGTATAGTTCAATTATACATATCTATTAGGCAAATCATGTTGCAAGCTTACAACTTGGTCAACACCAACTTACAACAGTTGGCTCTGCAAGAAAATGGATGTACAGAACCAATCGATCTACAACACTTCAATCCCAAACTAGTCTTCCGTATCCATTTAAGAGTAAAAAAGAAGCATGATCTTCTTTGCAAGATTTACTTCTTTTGTCTTGGTTCCAATTCAATACATGGATGTACACGATATATGTGCAAATTACAATCTCTCATATCTTGGTGCCCCTCGGAACACTTGCTCGCCATTCACTTCCGTCGAGAAAGAGAAGAATGGAAAGAAAACAAGATATATGGCAAAGGTTATTGAAACCACAAACCCCAAAACAACCTTACCCCAATCCCTTCTTTAAAAAAAAAGTTGAAAGAGAAAACTTTAACACAAAACAGAGAAAATGGTTTAGCTTAATTTCTTCTTTTCCAAACTTAATATTGGAACCTTGTTAACACACACTGCATCAAATTTATGGTACAACTGCCACAATTTCCTGTATGCCATTAACACATATGCATCAACTTGGTCTTCATACTTCTCATAGAGTGCAGGAACTGTAAGAACAATCACAAGGCCTGCAAAGATAAAGAACATGAAAGTCAGTTTCTGTTGTCAAGAGAACGCTTTGTTTCCAGAATTAGGAATAATGGGAGTAACATACTAGTGTAGCCCAATGTGAGGAAATCTGTCAAGCCCCCAACGACTGATACCAGCATCAGCCCCGCGGAGACCTTAACATACATATTTGTGTCCTTACCAAGGGCAATATCCTCAGAAACTGACAGTATCATGTTGACGTGATTGCGGATGAAATATGCTGCTTCATTTACCATTTCTTCAGAGAGATACAAATGCGGCAGAGGTGGAGCTGGTCTGTTACAATTATTTTGGATAAGGTTCAATCACAAAAAAACCAATGACTATAGTTCAAGAAGGTTCATTACTAGATAAGTTGATAATAATATCATGAACTACCATTCTGAATGGCACTAAAAGGTCTCAAGATAACATAGTTAAATAATGAAGAAATCTACAAAACATCATAGTTAGAAAGTAATCTCAATGAACTGGCAAATAGATGACTTTCTTGAAAGACATTTTTCAATCCCCATCCTTGTTTTTTGTGTCTTTTTTTCTTTTTACCCTTGGTGTATAGGCTAGCTTGTGCTCACCTTGACCACTCTCACGGGTACCTGCTACCTCGTCCCAATACAGGTACCGGGTAACTCCATCCACAAGGCTTGGACAGATGTAAGGAAAGCACCTAGTGTTTTGTTTTTTATGTGATTTATTTGCTTGTTCTCCAAGCTTTCCATCAAAGATCAATAATAGAAGTCCTTGTCCAAGCAACATTACCAACATCTATAGTAGCTTATAAAATATTGAACTATCAGCTGATTTTTTTCAAGAAAGCTGTTCTACTATACAGTAATAAGAAACTACAAATTCTTCGCACCCCATTGGCCTTGAAACTGTTGGAAAATAGAGTTCCCACAAATGTAGCATGTTTGGGAAGGGTTCTAGTGCTTAACACAGTATGATTTTAAAAAGGAGACTTGTAAATTACAATAGGTGCTATGTGTATGAGAAATGACTTGGGAGTGCAACATTTGCTCCTGCACTGCCTAGTGTCCTTGAGAGTTGCTGTATGCTTCCCTGCCTTCTTGGAGTAAAAGAGATGATAACAATGTCCCAGAGACAACTATTATACTGTTGGAAGAGACGAAAAATGCAGAAAAGCAAAGTAGGTCCAGAGTCCGGACACTCTTCATCTGAAAAAGAGAGAAATCCAGAAAGCTCTGATGGCAGGACCTCCCCCTCACCACCACCACCACACGGGCACACACACAATGCTGATTTAATGAGCAGATTAATAAATGTCAAGAAAAGTTGTCAGAGATAACCAACAGATAACAAGAAAGGAAACAGCAACAATGGTCAAAGGAGCATTACTAGAAGTGTTTATGCTACTTGACTGACACGCTTCATTTCATTTAGCATTTGGAAATAGCTCGCATCTCAGCCTCCTCCCCTCTACCCATCCCCCAGGGGAGCACAAAAAGATGAAAGTCTTCCTAAATTTTAGACAATGTAAAATCATTTTGATTTGCTACATGTCAATAACTTGCTTCCTTTCCTCATTCAAGAAATCAAGCATCTATAAAGCAGATGCGGACCCCATATGAAGCAAACGAATATCTATTGAATTACCTTTTCCAAATAATAACCTGTCAATATGGCAGGAACTAACCCCTCTCATAGGAATTGACATACTTTTAGAGCTACATGAGACTCTTAACCAAAATCGCGGAAGTTTGAGTACCCCATATTTTCTATTAAATTACTAATACCAATGCTACAACTGTACTACATACATTAAACCAAGTAAACAATGCTCATCAAAATTGTATATCACAACTGAGATATTTGAGATCATTCACTTTGTGCAATTCTCATCAAACCACAGACAGCAAAACACGAAAAACCATATCATAGAAGCATTTGCATAAGATTGTCATTTACCTGTTAAGAATTGCAGCTGATTTAGCCCATAGAAACAAAATGGCAAACAGCAGAAAGAGAACACTTGAGACTAATGATAGAAGTGTATAACCAGAGATCTCAAACACCACCCAAGCAAACAATGTTACTACAAGAATTCCCACTGTCACATCTTTTCGCCTCCATAGAACAACATCAGCAACTGTTTCAAACAAACTACAACTGGATCAAACACAAAATATAACCAACAAACTCCTTCAATTAAAAGAACAGTTTTTTTTTTATCACAAATACCAATTTCAACAAAAATTTCATCAATCCCATGTCAAGAACTCATTTGCATTTGTGATAAACATGTAAAATCAAATTCCAGATAAACCAAATTCTGAACCTAAATTCTTCATCAAACAAGAGCTGACATGATCAAGGACTTGCATTAGGTGGACTTACCAAAACCTCCTCCAAGGATCTGATGAAGACTTCTCTGCCTATTAAACAATTTATCAGATGAATCCATTTTTCAACAATTAATAAAAAACAAGAAAACTCCAACTCCAAGAGCTCAAATGAAAACAACTTCTTCACAAAGAATCAATCTTTGGTAACTTTAGTCAAAATTTGTGTAAACTTCTTCACAAAGAATCAGTCTTTTCCTTCTTAATCTGATACCAAAATGGATAAATATTGAGATATGGTATTTGTGGCACCAAGAATCAATCTTTTCCAGCCTAAAAGCATGAAAACATACTCATGACATTATTTTCTGCACTGTTTTTTCAACCCCAAAAGAAATAAAAGAAAAGTAGAAAGTGGGGGCTGGCTAGTTCAAGAAGTGTTTGCCTTTGGAGAAGTAAAAGGGATAAAAAAAATAGAAGAAAACTGGGAAGACAAAGACATTCCCCTCTGTATCTCACAGCTAAGCAGTGTCATGTGGGCTGCTGATGCTGTTTTGTTCTGCCTTTGTAATAGTAATTTTTTTCAACTAGTATAAATTTTATAGTCTTCCTAGTACTCCTACTCTCTTTTTTCAACTAGAAATTTGGTGGTAAATGATTTGGGCATTGAATGGAATAATTTGTGTTCAAGAAAAGAAGTTCTAAAATAAAGTAGATCTAACTTTCTTAATAAATATAAATGAATTTAATTTATATTAACATATAAGATGATAACTTTTAGGAATCTTTAGATAAATAGTTGGTCGGGGTGTGCATCCATCGATTTGATTTGGTTTTATGTATTATCAATTTGATTTATCGATTTTTGATTTTTAAATATGTTAGTCATATCGATTTGGTTTATCGGTTTTTGATTTATTGAAGAGTTCGATTTCTGTTTAACCAATAAGAAAATGTTTATAAAACAAATATATGATCTCTCCAACAAACAATAATGTGACTTTACGTAATGCTTATAAAATAGAAATAATAGTAACTAACATGAAAAAAACTATAAAAATGCAACACAAATAAAAGAATCATGAAGATAATGTGAATTAAAGTCTAAAGGGTAAAGGTAATACTCCGAATAAGGTACTAATATTAATATTCACTATTTTATGTAGGGGTAAAGTAGTAACTTACTATAGTCTTAATGAGTTATCCGTTTATCCAATAACCCAATATTTAAAAACGAAAACCGAACTAACTGAATCCCCAATCCTTTCCTTGTTATGCAGTGACAGTAGCAATATCCACTAATCGCGTTTGATATATTTTTTTATAAAATCATTAAATACTCATTAACAACTAAACCAATAACAATAAATTAATATTTTTTTTATTTGATTTATTGGTCGATTTGATTTTTGCTCACCCTAGCTAGTCAAATCTACTAGTAATTCTTTTTAGGGTACATAAAGCTTACGTGATTATACATTAATTGTTCTAATTTGTTTACAATAATATACTAAATTCATTTGTAATATATAATATAGAATATATTTTTTGGTTAATATGTTTTATTTGAGTATAAAGTCTATCAGAAACTACCTATGAAACGTTTTTGACTTATTGCTATGGTGACAAATAACTTTTTTTTTTCAATTACTAATTTAATTGTTATCAAGGTTTATAAGAAACATTTCAGGTAAGCTAAAAAATGTATAATTTTTTATATATAAAAGTTAAAATCAATATATATTAATGTATGTTTTTGAATCATGATCTGTAATACTATTTAATCCTAATTTGACGAGTAGTTCTTCAATCCCAAGATGTTACAAGTGTAATTAGATGTGACATAAAAGTTTATAAAGTTAATCGTATTTCAAATCTATAATTTATTATATTAAGAATCATTGTGATTCCAAATGTACTTTTATCTTTAATATTTTCTTCTTGCAAATGTTCTGACATATTTCTAGGAGATGATTCATATGTGTCAAAAAAAATTTCATTGCCCGCATGCGTCTTGTCTTCTATATATACCAAATTCAGATGAAAAAGATTTTAACACATATGAATCATCTTCTAGAAATATGGTGAAAGAAGCAAAAGAGAAGTGTTGAAAGACCAATCGACCCTAACTTTCTTGGTTTTCCTACCTATAATTACAAAACATTCTTGTAAGAGACAACTTTTAGCTTCACATTAGATATCTCAATAATTCTTATTTATATTGCCAAATGTTATTTTAAGTTAAAGAAAATCTTAGCAATTTGTTTTAACACACTACATCGATATTTGTTGTCAAAAAACTTTATTGATAGATCTAAATATTTAACTTATTTAATTTAAAGTCCTAAAATATAAGAAAAGTTTGCTGTTAAAAATCTGAAAAAAACTAAAATAAAACCTAGAAATGTGTACAAGAGATTTTACTAAATTCCTCAAGGCATGACCATACATGAAATAAATAACCTTTTTATTGATTGAAATGGTCGATACGTGAATACAAGGAAATAATCAAAATGTCTAAATAATAATTGCAATTTTTTGACACAAACAATAATTTCTGATGGTTATAAAAGATTTTTTCGGTAACTAAAAATTAATTGTAACTTAACATATTAAAATAAAATAAATTTAAAGAGAATTTTTATACATTTTTGTGTCATTACATAATAAAAAGTAACAACATCCTCAATGCAATCTCACAAGTAAAGTTTGAATTGATGCCTTGATGGAATAAACGCAAACCTTATGAAAATTTTCTATTAACTAAAAAAACTTTAAATAATATTTAATGCATTAGTATTTTTCTCAATGCGTTAAAACTTAGGAAAGAAGATTTATTGTATTTTTAATGTTACCATACAAAGAAATAATGAAATCATTTGTTAATTAGAAGTTCAAATAATTAATAGAAGGAAATAACAAAGTTTTTCAAATTTATTGTAATTCTTTTAACAATATGGTAAAACATAATTATGATAAATAATATGTATTAATGGGTGTGTCAAGTCCAATGACAAGTAAACGTGAACAAAAAGAGTATTAAAATGTCACTAAAAATTATGTTGAAGTCAACATATTAATTTTCTCTCACACTAATTGATATATTTATCTAGCATGTTGGTTTTGATTTTTCCTTCTCAGTATAATTTATTTTTTCAACGATTTCAATTTTCAAACTTTAACCCGATTTTTCCGAATTATCTGTTCTTATTTGTCCATTAAAGAGATATTTGACAAAATTAATTCTTAAAAGATATAAATATATAGCTTTGAACATCAAAAAGTTAGAAGAGTGAACACTAAAATAAATATACATGAATTTTGTGGAGAAGTTTATGGATCTTAATTAAGTTTTGGTTTTATGCCAACAATTTTACTAATTGTATAGAAGAAAGGAAACAACATTAGATACATACTGAATAATCAAGTATCACGTGGAATTTCGCAAAATAAACCACGAAAATCCATAAATAAGAACACAAATGAGAAATATATCAAAAGAGACACAAATATTTAACGCGGTTCAATCAAATAATCCACAAGAGCATATGAACAATTCACTATTTAAAAGAGAGTACAAAATATCGAGAGAAATAACACACAAAATTCACTTAGAATAAAAAGAGGTTCACACAAGTGATAACGTAACACTTGTGTCTCACAATCCCCCTAAATAACAATCTCAAACCCTTTAGGACTACATTGTGGAACATAATTGGCTTCTCAGGAAAAATTACACACTTGAATTGAAAAAAAAATTGCACAAAATTAACACTTGAGAACATAAATTCTATCTCCTACATGAGCAATCTAAATATCAGTTTTCTTTTAAAAATTTACTACTAATTTTGAAGCTAAGGAAATACATCAGATTAACAATATTGTGTACACCACATTTGCTACAAAAATTTGAAAAGATTACAGTGCTAAAATTCTGTTGAAAAGTGAGGAAAGTTGCTATACAAGTAGGTCATAATGGTTCCTCCCACTATAAAGGAGCCTCACAACCTTCCTGGCCTTTCTGTTTTTTGAACCTTTACGGAACTCAGCTCCATATTCTGCAATTGGAATGAAACCAGAGCCCCTTCCTCCATGCTGCAGTTTCATCGCCAAAATTCATAAGAAAACATTCAATCAAACATTATTGACGAACAAACAAGAGAGAGGTTTGGAAGTACTTTTTAAGAGCTTAGATAGTACTTACTAGCTAAGAAAACAAAGGTTTGATAACTTTCAACCATTATGCAATTGTAGTCTTACGGTCTAGGCCTTGATCGATCAACTAGGTAGCATGTCTTCAAGGTGAAAATGACATTTTCAACCTCTTTTCCACATTATGTCAGGACTTACTGCAAATGCAGTACCTATATATAGGATTTTACAAGTCGGAAGCAAACACCATAGATAAAATGTAGCCAATCCCTACCAACAACAGCACAGGAGTGCAAACTAGAGATGAACCTAGATCCTGGACCACTAACTCATGACAGGATAAAGTGGCAATGTACACACCAAAATGAATTGAAGATATGAGATATCTTCAGTCACTTTTTTCTATTCAAACTAAAAGGAACTTTTACTTTGTGTTTCTTTCAAGCATTCGTCATCCATTAAATGTTATTCAGGATGATATCTTCCACTTTGTTTCTCTCTGCTTCATGCTGTTCAAGAGTTAATAATTTTTCTTTTAAAGGAGCAGAAGCTAAGGGAAGTTCGGCTTATTAGCCTGGGAAGATCGAATGCCTTTATATTCAATCTTAATAAATGCATACCGACATATCTCACTCACTATTGCCAACAGAAGCTTCCAAAGTTGAATTGGTAAAATTTCATTGGCTTTTGCTACCTTGTTAATTTCTTTCAGAGAATTAGTAGATTGATTGAAGGAGAAACTGCAATGATAGTCTAGTGTGCAAAAGAAGATGATGGGGCGGATGGGTAACCGTTAGCTTGTTTTGAGAGTCCTAATGCAATAAGAATTTAGTATACTGAGCGGAATGAGATTTCGCAGAGCCTACTTTAGTTGATGGCAAGGAGAAGAGGTATAATTGGACAACAATACCCAAAATACTTTAGCCGATGTTGTTAATGTGTTCATTGATAGGCTAGATAAGCTTTGATTTCCGAGCAAGAAGTCCTTGTTATGACTAATTCAGAAGTAAATCTTTTGAAGCAAAGGGAAGTACCTCCTGTTCTGGTATGTATACCATAATTGGCTGGCAACACAACTTCGATAATACCTGATGAAGAAAGAAAGATGATCTATCAGCATAAGTGAGGAAATGTAGCTAAATGTAAGTGTCCCACTTGTGATGTGTGACACAGAGTATTATCGATGCACTTCCTATAGAAACACTACCAGAAACCATCTTTTTTCCCTCATTAACTAGAAAGAAATTAGTGTGGACATGCCAAGCAGTATACAATTGAAGAAATGAAAAGAATGAGTAGACCAAAACAACTAATAGTCCTGAAAGAATGATTGAGAATCTCATTAAACTTCCCTATGTAGCAACTAAACATGGATTACTGATGGTTACATGGCAATAGAGGATGAAGATAAAAAACAATTGA